CCCCCCACCCGGGCGGCCGGCCCCCGGCCGAGGAGGGATCACCTTCCTCTCGCCCCCGCTCCGCCGCCCGGGACGGGGAGGCAGGGGATCGGCGCAGGGTCCCCTCCGCGCGCACCACCCCCTCCAGCAAAGGGGCCCCGAGGTCCCAGACCGACGGCGTTCGCTCTCACGTCGCTCCGCGCGCGGCCAAATCAGCCCAGATTTCCCACTCTGTATACCTTTATAGCATGCTAGGGTCTTTTTCGTAACTGAGAACTCACCCTAGCTCGCTTATTTCCCTTGGGGATTACTCTCACCTTCTGTAGCCAAATCATGGAACAAGTTTGCAGAAACCTCCAAAAAACACAGAAATGTTTTTCTTTTACGCTAAAAACCTGGTACTCTTAATCCCAATCCTACGGACTCCTTAGAATTACATTCCACTTAAAGATGTGATTCTTTTTAAAACCCTTTTTTTTTACATACTCCTCCCACTGAAAAAGAGTCAGCACCAGGAAAATCTCACCTAGCAGTTTACAGCTTTCCTGCTTTCGGAAGAATTATGTCAAAGCACAGCTGTGTTATCAAACACAAATTCCCAGCAACCTAAACCCATTTGATAATTCTGCCTGGCACACTGTTTTTACAGTATGTCTAGACATAGATACCAATCGTGTAATTGCTGTGGAAAAAGAGATGAACAAGAAAATAAATCTGGAAGGTCAATTCTGGTCATCGGCATTTCAAGCTGCGTTTACAAATACTCCATGGATGAATAATGACTTTTCACCAGAGAAGAGAGAATTCAACTCATGACCTGGGAGAAGTAAAAATGAGGAGATTGGCCACGGTGCACCAGAAGACTAAGCCCAACCGCTTCTTTCTTCATAAAGAGGCCGTGCTTGAGGAATGACAAAAATCAAGTAAATCCGAGAAAGCAAACACTGGAGGTCACAAGCTCGTCCCAGCTTACCGCAACCGGAGGGACGGCAGAACAACACGATGCCTTTCCAAGAGGGCACGGGGTTACGGCGAGCCTGGTGCCGTCCTGCTACGCCCGAGGAGCCCACGCTACCAAATGGCAGTTTGAGATCAGCCGAGCATGCAAATATTACACATCGAGCTGCTTTAGAGCAATTTAAATGACTAATGAAAATGGGAAAATCCTTTCCTTTTTTAATTTCTGTAGCAATGGTTTGATGAGGATCATTTGAAATTGATTAGTTCTGCCATGTGCATTTTATAGCCAAAAAAGCCAAATGTTTCAAATTACCTTGTCATTTAAATGATAATGGTTTGGAGAATGTAAAAAAAAAGCAAATCTCTTTGCTGTGGCATAAATGCTCTTCTGGCACCAGAAGCAGCCACTGCGCTAGCAGCATAACAATTTTCATCCAAAGAATCCTTCATTCCTTTCCCTGTCCCCTTTCCGTAGCAACCTCCTGATGCTTTCAGTTGTGTGATGTGTGTATATTTGATACAGTGAGAATAAAGTACAAATTCTCCATGAAACTGTGCCCAGAGGCCAGAGGAGTTTGAACGCTTTGGCAAAGCGGAGCTATAAAACACAATTTATGATGGATTGTGCTGGGACTGAGAGAGTGAAATGGCAGCTCTTAATCAGGGACAGCTTCACGACAACGACAATAACTGAGGAGCGGGCACACAAACGCAGCTGCTCATCACGGCCACGTAGTGCTTAGCCTGGCAGAGCAGTTTGTCAGGAAGGGTCTAGCGCCCTCCGTGGAGACAGCAACGAGGGTGCAGGACAGGCCGCGTCCCGAGGGCCGCACGCCTCCGTCTGCCCACGGGCGCGCAGAGCCCCAGCGGCAGGCCAGCACCCTCCGGTTGCGGTGAAGACGCTGGCCTGCTGGCTACTGGAGCTGGGTGTCCACGGACACCCAGCAGTGGAGTGCAATGGAGGTCACAGAAAACCACTGCCTGTATCACGGCAATCGCCTGCACCTTAATAACCTGGGTGAGATACGAACCTGCTGCTTAGACCAACGGATTTCTGAACTTGTCACGTCCAGGCCAGACAGCGTGTTGAGTGCTTCTGTAGTTACTAACACTTTAAAGTGCTTGGGGCAAAATTCAGCTGCCCGGGGCCGGGACAGTTGTTCCCAAATGGCATCGGTTTAGAAATGCAGCTCTGGACGGACGGCAGGCTCTACCCCTTCTGCCGCCGCAATGGCCTGCCGTCGCTCCTGTGCACCGCCTGCTCCGGAGGGACCGGCCCGGGGGGCACGGCCACCTTAGCAGGGAGCTGACGTAACCGCTCCGAAAAGCCATGGTGGAAGCTGGTGGAGGCACAGGGTTTCTGCTAACCCCCGCAGCAGCTCTGTGGTACCTTGCTAAACGTTTCCCTCCATCATGTCCCAAAATATTCTGCATCAATTGCTTGTCTTCAGCTCGCACCGCGGCGCGGCAGAGGAACTTCTCCCCTCCTCGGCGATCACCGCAACAGCTGCCAAAGATGAGAACTCTCTCCTCTTCCAAACTCTGGTATTTGACAGATTCTGCAGTGTTTTGGCAATGTTTCCCCTGAGACTTTGTTCTGCAGTCCCACCCTTGCTTTTACACAGACCCTAATTCTTGGCATGGTTGACCCAGATTCAGGGTCAGCAGTTTGGTGAGATTTGAAACATTAATTACCTGTTTTCAGACCGCACATAGCAAATTGCAGAGAGGCACAATGCCTTGCCCAAGAGCCGCCTGCCTGGTGCTCTGGAGAGCGCCCGGCATCGCAGGGAAGCGAGGCAGATGCTCTCCGACGCATTTTTAGTTCAAGTATTAAACATTAAGGCAGCATTAAAAGCACAACCTGCTGCTTTTTCTATTCTTTAAACAAATAATGTAAAAATCACGTCCTCCGTACCACAAAACGGGGCCTACAAGCTGCTGCCCCTGGTTTTGCTCCTCAAAGACACAGAAAGCGCCTGGCTGAGCACTGCGCCCGGGGACGCTGCACCCCTCTTTCTTCTGGGGAGGCCAGCTGCCACCGGGAGAACGCGTACGCCGACGCCTCGGTTCACCCCGACTTGCCGCGCGCAAGGATCAAAACAAACACATTCCCTGCTTAAAAAGACTTAAGCCCTGGATATTATTTATGTTAATTATTCCTTGCAAACATCCCTCAGCGTAGGTACCACTGCGCACAGAGAGGCGCTTTGGAGACTTCTCTGAAGATCTGAAATTAGGTTTCTGCATAACTCGGTGGCCGAAGGGCTATAGCTATTAGGCTGGGGGCCTCTCCAAACAAGCACAGCTCCCTTAGTAACAGCAAAAGCCGTATTTTACAGTCTGAGCAGAGTTAAATATTCCTTTTGCAGTATGTGGGTTAGAAATTCCTCAGAGAACAACGCTCATCACGTAAATTTAAACCATTAGGAGGAATGGATAAGAGATGATTGCAGCAAGGTGGTTGGAAAACCCTTTTTTGCCTGGCTGTGGTTGAAAATTCAACTGTGGATGGATGCAGTGTTACTCCAAAATGTGAGCATCACAGCACAACCAAATGTACAAGATACGCTAAGCTGCAGTAAAATGGTTGAAGCTATGTAAATATCTGTCTGTGTAAAATCATCAAAACATTAGATTGAACTGGAGTTGGCTGAAGACTCCTCAAGCTTCTATCCTTAGGGATGGCAGACATTATGCATGCAGATACTAATAACCATAATACTGAGCATTTACATCTTGTTTTACCTCTTCCTATTGCTGCAAAGCAGGAGCTGTATGTTCCCACAGGATTACTTGCTAGAGATCGGGAAATTGCTGCACGTTATTACATAGCGTGCAACGAAAGACAGCAAAGTAGCAAACTTCCCCAGCCCAGTGTTGCACCAAACTTTTACCAAAAATAAATAAAAGGATTGAAAGTGAAAGGAAGGATGACACTTTTGAGGCAGAAAATGCGTTCCAGCAAACAAAATATCTGACTCTGACATTTCAATATGAGTTAAGACGAGGGAAAAAAAATACAATTCCCCTCTTTGCCGGACAAACTCACTCGTTGACTAGTTCCATCTCTGCATCCCAGTAGATGCACACCGGCGTGCCTGCACACGTGCCGGGGAGCAGGTGGACCAGGCCCGTCCCGGAGGATGCACCTCAGAAGATCCCTGCAGATTGCCGCGCCGTGTCACGGGCTTGCCGGGCAGCGAGCGTGCAGCCACCGCCGCTGAGACCTGACTTTAGGCGCTCGGGAATGAACCCCGAGAGCAGGCTGAGCATTTCTGAACCAAACACCTCAGCAGCTAACAGATTTAGACTATGCATAAACAAGGATAACATTTGCAACTACAGCCGCCGGCATGGAAATTTCAGAGTCCTAATACGAGTGCTAGAACTGGTATTGTGGACGGTCACTAGGAAAAAGCGC